AAAATATGAATTCTAACAATTCGTTTGCCACGTTACGCTACGCCGTAGAAGCCGTTCCTTTCTTTGATGGTCAGAACATACTGTTAGAATATTTTATAGAAGGATGCGAGCTGGCGAAATCTATGCTGCCAGCTGATAGTGAAACTTACTTGACTAAAATTATTCATACGCGATTAACTGGTGAAGCCCGACGTTCTGTGCAGGGTCAAGATTTTTCGCGAATTAACCAACTAACGGCGTATCTAAAAAATGTTTTTGGGCCCACTAAAAGCTTATACGAATTACAAGCTGAACTAGGACGAGTGTACCAATTAGCGGGCGAACAAATAGTATCTTATGCCAACCGTGTAAAAGCAATAGGGAAACGCATCCTAGAAGCCTACCGCACTAACGTTAACGGACCTATAGGTGAAGCAGCCAGAATATCATTAGAAAAAGAAATGTGTCACAGTTTTATTAGAGGATTAATACCGGAGATAGAACAAAGAATCTCCCGAGACTTAAACGTAGCGGGCACGGTAAACGAAGCACTAAGAATAGAAAGGGAGTTACGCGCGATTAACGAATTGCGTGGCACACTAAATCCACCCGCCGCCGCTAACTTACATACTTGCCAGATCTGTAAAACTTCTGGTCACACCGCGGATAATTGTCGTTATTTACGAAGTCCCAACTTGGGTAATGATATTTTAGTTTGTCAACTCTGTAAAAAACGGGGCCATAGCGCAGATAATTGTAGAACAAGAGACCGCGCCGGCACGGCTTCCGTAAAACTAGTACAGAACAATACAATTACATGCCAAATTTGCTCGAAATCCGGTCATACTACCCAAACCTGTCGAACAACTCACAATCAGCCTATCGTTACTTGTTATAATTGTCAAAGACCCGGTCATCTTGCTAAAAACTGCCAACTACATCGTAATCAATTAAATATAATTTGCCAGAGTTGCCAGAGATCCGGTCACACCGCGAGAGATTGCCGAAGTCGCTCAGTTACTACTAATGCTGTTCTCTGTCAGTTGTGTAATAAAACGGGCCACGATGCAAAAAATTGTTATACGAATCGGAACATCTCACTTAGTAATGCTGTAGGGACGTGCCAATGGTGCGAGCGCCCAGGTCATACCGCATCTCAATGTCGTATGAGACAACCCAACAATCAAAATTCGTTATTAAGTAATAGTTCAATTATATGCCAATTATGTAATAAGATCGGGCATAAAGCGAAAGAATGTCGCGAAACCCAACCGACTTCAAGTTTACCGAACCAATGCAGGTATTGCAAAGAAACGGGTCATTCATTGGAAAATTGTGTTCTGAGAATCGAAAATAATAACCGGAGACAGGGAAACCAAGTGAGTTCTTCGATTACGGGCGCGACTCGGGGAACTGGGCCGCCGGAACTGGGCGCCCAGTAATA